GGAAACAGGCTAACATAGTTCCAATCTACAAAAGTGGCAGCAGGGAAGACCCCCTCAATTATAGACCTGTATCATTGACAAGTGTAATAGTGAAAGTATTGGAAAAGCTAATCAAAACTAAATGGGTAGAACACCTGGAGAGAAATGATATAATATCAGACAGACAGTATGGTTTTAGATCTGGAAGATCCTGTGTATCGAATTTACTCAGTTTCTATGATCGAGCCACAGAGATATTACAGGAAAGAGATGGTTGGGTTGACTGCATCTATCTGGACCTAAAAAAGGCTTTCGACAGAGTTCCACATAAGAGGTTGTTCTGGAAACTGGAAAATATTGGAGGGGTGACAGGTAAGCTTCTATCATGGATGAAAAATTTTCTGACTGATAGAAAAATGAGGGCAGTAATCAGAGGCAATGTATCGGAATGGAGAAATGTCACAAGTGGAGTACCACAGGGTTCAGTTCTTGCACCAGTGATGTTTATTGTGTACATAAATGATCTACCAGTTGGTATACAGAATTATATGAACATGTTTGCTGATGATGCTAAGATAATAGGAAGGATAAGAAATTTAGATGATTGTCATGCCCTTCAAGAAGACCTGGACAAAATAAGTATATGGAGCACCACCTGGCAAATGGAATTTAATGTTAATAAATGTCACGTTATGGAATGTGGAATAGGAGAACATAGACCCCATACAACCTATATATTATGTGAGAAATCTTTAAAGAATTCTGATAAAGAAAGAGATCTAGGGGTGGTTTTAGATAGAAAACTATCACCTGAGGACCACATAAAGAATATTGTGCAAGGAGCGTATGCAATGCTTTCTAACTTCAGAATTGCATTTAAATACATGGATGGCGATATACTAAAGAAATTGTTCATGACTTTTGTTAGGCCAAAGCTAGAATATGCAGCTGTTGTGTGGTGCCCATATCTTAAGAAGCACATCAACAAACTGGAAAAGGTGCAAAGACATGCTACGAAGTGGCTCCCAGAACTGAAGGGCAAGAGCTACGAGGAGAGGTTGGAAGCATTAAACATGCCAAAACTAGAAGACAGAAGAAAAAGAGGTGATATGATCACTACATACAAAATAGTAAAAGGAATTGATAAAATCGACAGGGAAGATTTCATGAGACCTGGAACTTCAAGAACAAGAGGTCATAGATTTAAACTAGCTAAACACAGATGCCGAAGAAATATAAGAAAATTCACCTTCGCAAACAGAGTGGTAGACGGTTGGAACAAGTTAAGTGAGAAGGTGGTGGAGACCAAGACCGTCAGTAGTTTCAAAGCGTTATATGACAAAGAGTGCTGGGAAGACGGGACACCACGAGCGTAGCTCTCATCCTGTAACTACACTTAGGTAACTACTTGAAACTGTGTATGGAGTCAGCCTCCACCACATCATTTCCTAATGCATTCCATTTGTCAACCACTCTGACACTAAAAAAGTTCTTTCTAATATCTCTGTGGCTCATTTGGGCACTCAGTTTCCACCTGTGTCCCCTAGTGCGTGTGCCCCTTGTGTTAAATAACCTGTCTTTATCTACCCTGTCGATTCCCTTGAGAATCTTGAATGTGGTGATCATGTCCCCCCCTAACTCTTCTGTCTTCCAACGAAGTGAGGTTTAATTCCCGTAGTCTCTCCTCGTAGCTCATACCTCTCAGCTCGGGTACTAGTCTGGTGGCAAACCTTTGAACCTTTTCCAGTTTAGTCTTATGCTTGACTAGATATGGACTCCATGTTGGAGCCGCATACTCCAGGATTGGTCTGACATATGTAGTATATAATGTTCTGAAAGATTCCTTACACAAGTTTCTAAATGCCGTTCGTATGTTAGCCAACCTGGCATATGCCGCTGATGTTATCCTCTTGATATGAGCTTCAGGGAACAGGTCTGGCGTGATATCAACCCCCAGGTCTTTCTCTCTCTCTGACTCCTGAAGTATTTCATCTCCCAAATGATACCGTGTATCTGGTCTCCTGCTTCCTACCCCTATCTTCATTACATTACATTTGCTTGGGTTAAACTCTAACAACCATTTGTTCGACCATTCCCGCAGCTTGTCCAGGTCTTCTTGAAGCCTCAAGCTGTCCTCCTCTGTCTTAATCCTTCTCATAATTTTGGCGTCGTCAGCAGACATTTAGAGGAATGAGTCTATACCCTCTGGGAGATCATTTACATATATATCAGAAACAGGATAGTTCTGAGTACAGAGCCCTGTGGGACTCCACTGGTGACTTCACACCAATCTGAGGTCTCACCCCCTCACTGTAACTCTCTGCTTCCTATTGCTTAGGTACTCCCTTATCCAGTGGAGCGCCCTACCAGTTACTCATGCCTCTTTCTTCAGCTTATGCATCAGCCTTTTATGGGGTACTGTGTCAAAGGCTTTCCGACAGTCCAAAAAAATGCAGTCTGCCCATCCTTCTCTTTCTTGCTTTGTAGCCACGGGAGTTATGAATGATTCGCTATACCTATGAGATCCCTGAGGCGCGTTGCACACCACCTGTCGAGAGCATCAAGGCGCGTTGTGCCATGCAGTGGTTTAATCCTGTAAATGAATGATTTTCCACAAGTTTATTTTGTAAAGGAACATGAAAAGTTGTTTCAAATTCTTAGATGGACCAAACAATGTCAGTGTTCTGTGGCTTGTGCTGTGAACATCTTGAATAGCATTGTGTTCACTGATATTTGAACATTGGACACAGTATTTTATCACAGTCAGGCTCTTGTAATACAGTACTAACATCGCTAAATAATAGAATAGTAGTTACATATATATTTTGGCATTTTTAGGTAATTCTGTAGTCACAAGCTGAACAACAGTGCTGTTAGCTCATGCTGTGTGCACCAACCTTGGTTGCTCACTCAGTACTAAGGCGCTCACACCCGGGAATGTTAACCACAATTTTTTTTTTCTGGGGGAAGCCCCGTCGGCTCCCAGGAGCTATCCAGGCTGAATGGATATGTATAACTTTCTGGCATCAGTCAATGCATGGAGTTCTTGCCTATCGGGGACCACGAGCCAGAACCTGGGCCCCTCTAGAGAGAGGCACCAGGAGCAATGGCCTATAGAGACCCTCCCCCCTTATGATTGGGAGCATTCTATGTCTGCTATTGGCTGGGATAGGCACCCAGAAAGGTAGGCACCCCAAAACAAACCCCTATTCTGGTAAACTATTGCGACCGAAGACTGAACAAGTGGACAGAACTCCCCAAACAAAAATTAGCAAACAAGCATGATGTCATCATGATGACGTCATGCTTGTTTGCTAATTTTCGTTTGGGGAGTTCTGTCCACTTGTTCGGTCTTAGGTTGCAATAGTTTACCAGAATAGGGGTTTGTTTTGGGGCGCCCAGTCGATGGCAGATTTAGAATGCTCCCAATCACAAAGGGGGGAGGGGGGGTCTATAGGCCATTGCTCCTCGTGCCTCACTAGAAGGGGGTCAGGTTCTGGCTCGTGGTCCCTGGTAGGCAAGAACTCCATGCATTGACTGATGCCAGAAAGTTATACATATCCATTCAGCCTGGATAGCTCTGGGGAGCCTCCGGGACTCAGCCAGAAAATGGCACTTCATTACATTCAATGCTGTTTTTTTTTAAATGGCGTCTGTTTACTAGTGCCCTGACGAAACTGATGTGAACCCTTTGTAGCTATGGGCGCCTGACAGCTGAGTGGACAGCACTTTTGGATTCATAGTCATGAAGTTCCAGGTTCGATCCCCGGTGGAGGAGACAAGTGGGCAAAAAGTTTCTTTCACCCTGGTGCCCCTGTTAATAGCAGTAAATAGGTACCTGGGAGTTAGACAGCTGCTACGGGCTGCTTCCTGTGGGTGTGTAACAAAAAGGAGGCCTGGTTGAAGACCAAGCCGCTGGGACACTAAGCCCCGAAATCATCAAATAATCTCAAGATGGGACTTTTAATCTTACACAGTCCTTTTTAATGTATATATGCGATGTGCACTGTTCAGCCAGTTAGAGCCAAATTGTAAATACAGTAGTACCTCGCATAACGATCGCCCCAAAAGGCGAACATTTTGGGTAACGAACGGCCAGATCAGCGTCAAATCGTCCCGTATGGCGAACGCTCGTTTGAGTAACGTCAACACCACATGATGGGGTCGTGCTGCTTCTTGCACATTCTTGGACGCCTGTGATGATGCACATAAATTATGTTGTTCTTGTTTAAAGATGCTAATGATGCTGGGTTATAAAGGAGTGACTGCTGAGATGTTGCAAAGCATTAATGTTTTCTGAAATGGAACAAATGTCAATAAGGTTCGTTCGGTGTTCGGCAGGTAGGCTGCTCCATTATAACAATCTTTATGAACATTCTGCTGTATACATATTGTAAAGGTCACAAATATGCATCATATACGATAAAAGAAACAAATAAAACTGCATTGCAAATACATAGAACAAATATTTGAAAATATATTTGTGCAACACGCGGTGCTTGAATGGCCTGCACGACCGTGTCTGGGCACTTCACACATGGGCGACGAGCCCCTGATGATGTCACAGTGCATCTTGTCCACGTCCTCACAGCCAAAGTAAGTGGAATTTGGTGATTAGTTTTACATAGACATGTTCATGGAAGGGAATTTATCATTTTACAAAGAAAAATTATTTTTTGGGAACACTGGATGTCATGCACATTACGTGAATTTCACAATAAACGCAGCACATCACAATGGTTAAATGGGGACACTCGTTTTGTATGACGTCCGTTTCACATGACAAACAAAGCGCCGGAACGGATTAAATTCGTTATTCGAGGTACCATTGTATACATTTTGCGCTGTTAAAGGGTTAAGGCTTCACTGCTGGAAGCCTATAAATATGCCTTATCCTAGAATTTGTCCTTGCTGGTGACCTAATTCATTACAGAAATTATCACTGAGTGAATAGTTTCATATTTCACAATTGAAATTTACATTTAACTCTGTACTGCTAATAAAATTATTTTACTTTTTAGATGACGACAAATAAAGCTGCTGAAGTTCCAAATGTGATGCTTGAAAACTTCCCAAAGGACAGTTATGAATCAAACGGAGGACTTATTTTGCGAAACATAGTTCCTCTTTATATGGTGTTTGCTTGGGCTCAGTTCATTGTGTACTTAATGAATTTAGTTGTGGAGGAGAAAGAAAAGAAAATAAAAGAAAGTATGAAAATGATGGGTCTGAGGGATTCTGTTTACTGGTAAGTCAAACATGTATGTTTTTCAGTGAATATAGGAAATTGAAATTGAAATTGAAATAAGTTTATTGAAGTAAAATACACACAAAGGGATGAGGTAGCTCAAGCTATTCTCACCCCGTTCAGTACATCGTATTAATACATACATATAAACACATCACAAACAATAAACATATTACCAAACATTCTGAGAGATAAACATCTACATTTCCTATGAATATAGGAAGCATAAGGCTACAAACGTGTGTTATTTAATCTAAATTTTAAATATTTAATGCTGACATATTTTTAGAATTTCAAAATATTTTTGCCAAAATTGTGATTTATTATTTTTCTTTAGTAATTTAGAAAGAGATTTAAATTTAAGAAGTCTTTGATAGAAAGACATTATCTTTCCAATGAAACAAAAGAAACGTCTGTAATAATATTTGTTTGAGATTTAAAATTGTGAATAAATATGTGAAAACATGTATATGTATAAAGCTTAAGACTGCCCTTGACTTAACCCTTGGGACGCTAAGGGTCATAATAGCTTCAACACCCACAGGCGCAACAAAAAAAAAAAAAATCCAAAAAATCTTTTCTTATAAAAATGTTCATTTGTGTTCCCTGATCACTGGGGGTGGGGTATCATATGTGGCATATTTTGGGCGCAATACAGCGGGGCAGTGTGGCAAAAAACAGGCGTTGACAGAGCAGTCGCCAGTCGAGGTCTGCTCTGCCCAAGCTGTCAGGCGGGGGTTGCCACAAAGATATTACCTAATTATTTCAATGTCTCTGATTTTTTCTTAGTTTTTTGCAGTAATATTATTCAATAGTGTGTATTGTGATATATTTATATAATAAGATGTGTAAACCATCGCTGTACTCAAAATTATTGTGTTCATTTTAGTGATTCAATTATTATGTTCATAAAACAATAAACAAATAGTTTTGCTGTTATTACACTATATACACATGTTATATATAAGTATCTGCATGTTTTGTTCACCATAACGAACCACTAAGTTGGTATTGTGAGTCGAAAAGAAACGAGGAGTGACCGCCACACACCAACACTCCCTCACTCGCCAACATACTCCTCCCACCTTACTGTTTTTGCTTTTATTCACTGTACACAGACGATAAATATAAGTATCTACATGTTTTGTTCACCATAACTGTACATCTAAGCTTGTATGGGGAGTAAAGGCAATAAGAAGTAGCCACTCACACAGTCAGCTGGTGGCGGCCGCCCTCAAGGCCAGACGCACTAATATTATCCTCCAACAATACTGTTTGTGGTGTTATTACACTATATACACATATTATATGTATCTACATGTTTTATTCACCATACCTGTACAAATAAGCTGGTATGGTGTCTAAAGACCATAGTGGCCACCAGTAAACAACATGACAAGTCGTGCAGGCGACGCACTTCACTCAGCAAAATGGTGGCTTCCAACATATTCCTATTGCTGTTATTACACTCTATACAAACGTTATATAAAAATATCTACATTTGTGTTCACCATAGTGAACCACTAAACTGGTATGGTGAGTGCAGTCAATAAAAGTTGGCCACATACAGTCAGAAGACGACGCCACCACCCTCCCTCCCTCAGCATTACTCCTCACACCATCTAGAGGTTATCTAGAGATGATTTCGTGGCTTTTTAGTGTCCCAACGGCCTGGTCCTCGACCAGGCCTCCACCCCCAGGAAGCAGCCCGTGACAGCTGACTACCACCCAGGTACCTATTTCACTGCTAGGTAACAGGGGCATAGGGTGAAAGAAACTCTGCCCATTGTTTCTCGCCGGCGCCTGGGATCGAACCCAGGACCACAGGATCACAAATCCAGCGTGCTGTCCGCTCGGCCGACCGGTTCCCATAGAGCACAGTGCTAAATATCACCACAATCCTGCTATTATCAGGATCCTGGTCAGTTTATCACTGTCAAGTGTGTTCTGTAATACTATCATCGCTAAATAATAGCATGTACAGTGGTTATCTTGAAGTTATCTTCAGATGATTTCGGGGCTTTTAGTGTCCCCGCGGCCCGGTCCTCGACCAGGCCTCCACCCCCAGGAAGCAGCCCGTGACAGCTGACTAACACCCAGGTACCTATTTTACTGCTAGGTAACAGGGGCATAGGGTGAAAGAAACTCTGCCCATTGTTTCTCGCCGGCGCCCGGGATCGAACCCGGGACCACAGGATCACAAGTCCAGTGTGCTGTCTGCTCGGCTGACCGGCTCCCTCGGTAGTGGTACCTCGGTTTAAGAGTTTAATCCATTCCTGAAGACAGCTCGTATTCCGAAAACTCGTATTCCGAAGCTAATTTCCCTGTAAGAAATAATGGGAAATGAATTAATCCATTCCTGACTACTCCAAAAACCCCATTTCAAACTAAATTTTATACCTAATTCATCTAAATAAACCTACAAAACTATGTTCAAGTTATTACTTACCCTTGCTGATGGTAATGGAATCATCTTCCATACGCTGTTGGCGTATGGAAGATGGTAAGGAGGAGGGAGGAGAAGAGGTGTTATTGTTTGGAAGGGGAGTCCCCTTCCATTATAACATCAGGCAGTGAGGACTTCACTGGTGTGCACACACTGGCACGTTTTGCCTGCATGCCACTAGGACTTGCTTGTCTTACTAAGAATCTGTCTAAAGACACTTGTTTTTCCCTACATTTTAACACTTTGACGCACCCTGCGTGCCACCCCTCAACTATACGATGTGGGTCCCAGCGTTTCACGGGAGCGCGCGGTAATTCTGAAAAGTGTATACTCTCTTTAACTTTGTCACCTCAATTATCGTCCTACGAGATTAAATTTGGTATCATTGTGTTCGCAATAGAATTCTCTACAGCACTAAATGCATATAAACTGCAAAAGCCCAGCTAATTACCCGCAGCAGACAGAGAAAGTGCGAACGAGTTACGAAGGAGCACACAAAAGCGATAAAATGTGTTCACTCTTTTCACTCTGGTCACCTCAATTTTCGTCCTAGGTCTTTCATTTTAGTATCAATGGGTTTGCAATAAAATTCTCTAGAGGAATATTAGCATATAGAATAAAAAACCTGGTCACGCTCCACCCGCCGATGAGTTGAAGACGGGCCACGCGTTAGCCGCGAGTGAGCACCCAGACGCCTTCCAGCTACACTCCCAATTCCTGCCCACATATGTTTAATGGAGTCCTTCTATCTGTTGTGTGGTAGTTGTACATCACATAAGCATTGTAGATAGCCATTTGCACAAAATAGAAGGTCACTTTCCTCGTCCATTTGTGAGTTTTCCTTGTGAAGTGATAATATTAGATCATTTGATCAAAGTGATCAACACCTTTCATGTTTGTATTGTAGTCACAGATTGCATTCGGCTTGTTGACAGTTACCTGCTGCACTGAGGTTGCTCGATCACGATAGGCGCGCATTTTAAAACCAGTCCCCAAAAAATTAGATAAAAACCTGTTTTTTGGCGATTATTTTAGTGGACGATGCAGCATTGCGTCATCCCCGGGACTACCGACAGTAAACTGATGACGCAGCATTGCATCATGCCCGGACGAAAGTGTTAACACTTGTCTGTAGTAGGACATCAGATTGTCATTTAAAAGGTTAATGCAACGGCCTGTTACAGCTTTATCTGGGTAAGTTTTTTCAACAACACTTTGCAATTCTTCCCATACTTCACACATTTTCTGAACACTTTAGCGTTATCATGGCGCTTGAGAGCGTTACCACTTTTTGTGTTGAGGTCGCACAGCGGACTCGCTAACGAGTCATGAGAAAAAATATTTCTATAAGCTCTACTTGTTATGCGATCAATTTTGGAATAGTTTGAAAATGTTCGCCATAAAATTTCTGTTTTCTCTAATAGCCACATAGCCTATTTTGGAGAACGGCATAGCATTGCACCATTGAAGTAAGACCATTGTATTATTGACACGACAAGTGTAATCGACGTAGTTTTTTATTTGGTGCCAGTCTAATGCATCCTTGTGTGACATTTTATACGTATGTTCTAGAACATTCTATTGCGAACACATTGGTACAAAAATAAAGTACGTACATCAAAAATTGATGTCAGGACAGTGAAAAGAGTACTCACCTAGTTGTACTCACCTAGTTGTGCTTGTGGGGGTTGAGCTCTGGCTCTTTGATCCCGCCTCTCAACCGTCAATCAACAGGTAATTACCTAAGTGTAGTTACAGGATGAGAGCTACGCTCGTGGTGTCCCGTCTTCCCAGCACTCTTTGTCATATAACGCTTTGAAACTACTGGCGGTCTTGGCCTCCACCACCTTCTCACTTAACTTGTTCCAACCGTCTACCACTCTATTTGCGAAGGTGAATTTTCTTATATTTCTTCGGCATCTGTGTTTAGCTAGTTTAAATCTATGGCCTCTTGTTCTTGAAGTTCCAGGTCTCAGGAAGTCTTCCCTGTCGATTTTATCAATTCCTGTTACTATTTTGTACGTAGTGATCATATCACCTCTTTTTCTTCTGTCTTCTAGTTTTGGCATATTTAATGCTTCTAACCTCTCCTCGTAGCTCTTGCCCTTCAGTTCTGGGAGCCACTTAGTAGCATGTCTTTGCACCTTTTCCAGTTTGTTGATGTGCTTCTTAAGATATGGGCACCACACAACAGCTGCATATTCTAGCTTTGGCCTAACAAAAGTCATGAACAACTTCTTTAGTATATCGCCATCCATGTATTTAAATGCAATTCTGAAGTTAGAAAGCATTGCATAGGCTCCTTGCACAATATTCTTAATGTGGTCCTCAGGTGATAGTTTTCTATCTAGAACCACTCCTAGATCTCTTTCTTTATCAGAATTCTTTAAAGATTTCTCACATAATATATAGGTGTACAGATTCCTGAGCCTATTGGGCTCTATCATATCTACACTTGAAACTGTGTATGGAGTCAGCCTCCACCACATTACTTCCTAATGCATTCCATTTGTCAACCACTCTGACACTAAAAAAGTTCTTTTTAATATCTCTG